TTTTGTTTGACAAATTCTAATAAATAAAAATAAAAATAAATGTTTGTCTTTGTTTTTATTCTCCTGTACCATCAGGATAGTTATACAAAACCAGCTGACCCTCTGCCGAACAAAAGCCGAAAACCCGTCAAGGGCTGCCATACACCAGAGTGAGACTAACATTGAAAGCTTATCTGACAAAGGAAAAAATTAATTGCTTAGGTGAGGCTGGAAATAAAAGCTATCCCCGTTCTACCCAGGGGAATTGCTTTGGATGGGGAAATCCCCCCAGATCAGTTTGTAATTTTAAAAAAATACTGTATGTAAAAGGTGTGATTGGAGAGGTCATATAGCTAAAGTTTGTAAGGCCACTTATCCAAGAGAAAAAAACCAGAAAAACTAAAATTTCAAAGGTGATCTCAGACAAAATTCCTGTGAGGGAGAAATGACTGTAATGCTATATATCACTGTCCTGCTGTGTCCAGGAACTTTATTCAGCACACCAGCCTACCCCTGCATCCAAAGGTTTGCCCATGGTGCAAATAGAGGATCTAATTGTGACATGGAAGTGGACACAGAACCTGCTATTTCCATTATATCGTGGAGCACTATAAAAAGATTATTGCCTAGGCTGTCAAAGAAGCAATAGCAATCCTGTGATTTGTCCCTTAGAGATTACCAGGGGAATAATATTCACATTGTGTATAGTGCCCATTTCTGCATTAAATATAAGCAATTGACTGGCCACTTACCCTTAGTGGTTGTAGAGAGATGGTTACCAAGTCTTCTTGGCCTTGATTGGTTTGAGTCATTGGGTGGAGTTATTAGCGGAGTTAACCTGGTAAAAAATACTGATTTGGATATACTAGCACAAGAATTCCCTTCTGTGTTTGATGGCAAGCTGGGAATGTACACGTGAAAGCCAGTATCATTTAATTTTGATCCGGTTGTCACCCCTATAAGCCACAAGCCGCGGCGTGTTCTATTTGCGCTTAAAGCTAAAATCGATGCTGAACTCGACAAGTTAATTGTTCAGGGGTTGCTAGAACTGGTGGACAAAGTGGGAGACCCCCATAGTAACTCAAATCAAACCAGTCGGGTCTCTTTGCTTGTGTGCCAACTATAAGTACACAATCAACCACGCTTTGCCAGCCAATGCCTACCCATTGCCCGTGGTGCAGCATCTGCTGTACTCTTTAGGAAAGGGGCTTATATTTGCTAAACAGGTCCTGGCCCAAGCCTACCAGCAACTGCTGGTAGATGATGAAATGGTGGAGACACAGACAATTATAACCAACCGTAGGGCATTTAGATGTTGTCGCCTCCAGTTAGGAGTTAGCGTAGCAGCTAGGTTATTCCAGAGCACGATGGAGAGGCTCTTGCAAGGGATTCCCAGAGTAATACCATACTTAAGCAACTTAATAATCATGGCACCTGATTGTTCCGTTCTTATGGCTCTGTGCTACAGCGGTTCCAGACATGGGCCTCAAAGTAAAGCGGGGAAAATGCCACATAGCTGTGCCTCAAGTGGAATTCCTGGGATTCCTTATTGACTCTGAACGGCTCCATCCTACATCCAACAAAACTAGGGCTATTTTAGATGTACCACACCAAACAATATACCTGACCTGCAGGCTTTCTTAGGCTTACTCAATTTCTATGCAATATTCCCACCACGTAAAGCCTCCATAGCAAAAAAATGTTCAAGAAAAAACAAAAAAACCACTGATAACTGATAACCTAATCTTGCCTGTGTGGGAAATTCTAATTAACCAACTGCCATAAATCAGAGCTTGGAAAAGCAGGAGGCAAAGAAGAAACATACCCGAGTTTTGGCTGTATGCAAGCTTGTTCCAATTAATATATTTTGAGCAGCTATGACCAACAAGAGGTGAGGAGTGGCAAGGAAANGCTGTTTGGCAATTTGAACTTTCTGAGTTGGTACAGAAAGATCATTCTTTGTTGTGCTTTTTTGATGATGTTTTTGATGTTAGGTGTCCTTTTTTTAAATAAAATTGAGTGACAAAGAAAAGGTAGTCCTTGACTTATAGTCATTTGTTTAGTGACTGTTCCAAGTTACAATAACACTGAAATAAGTGACTTAAAATTGAATCTTGCACTTAGGACTGTCACAATATTCACTAATTAAAAATAGACCACATACATAAAAAGTTAACCCAAGATCAACACAGGCCAGGGCTATCCTGGAAGAATATTTGGAAGGTACAACAGGTACTGATTGCAGTGGTGCCAACAATTCTGGAGGCTTCTCACATGGCACATGTGACACTCTTTTGTACATGATTGGGACAGGTTGCCACTTTCCTTCAGGATACAATTCAAGGTGATGGTTGTTACCAATAAATAAAGCCCTTTATTTATGATATGAATGCAGGGTATATGAGGAATCACCTTAACTCTTTTTGACTAATTCACCCAAGTCATTCCTATTTCAGACTCAGTCAGCCAAACCTTTCAGCTGACAGTGTCCAGGAGAGAAACCTTTTCTGTTGTCCCCCTGGCCCCCTCAATATTCTACTGTCAGAGGTGAGGTCTGCCTCACAGTTCTGGATTAATCTTTTTATTCTAACTTTTTAATCTTTTATTTTAATTGTTTCTTTTTAATACTTTTTGATATTTATGATATTGTAAGCTGGCCCGAGTCTTTGTATTAGTGAGAAAGGTGGCATGCAAATTAATTAACAAATTAATTAAACTGCAAATGAGCAAAGGAACAGACCTCTCATTAATCCACTCTTGTTAATTAAAAGGAATTGACTTTTTCAGGAATGTAAAATGTGGCAGGTTATTCTGCACAGGTGGTAAAGAGCACCCTTCGGATGGAGAAAAGGTCTCATTTGGTTCATGCAAAGGCAGCTATTCTGATGTAATTGAAGATGTTGGAATGGTTGATCCAGGAACAAAATGTGGAAAAGGAAAGGTTAGTAAAAGATTACCTCTAATTTGTGTGCTCTAAAGTCTGATTGCAAGGGGTGATCACTAAAATAATTTTGGAATGGATGATTTTGACAGCTAGTCTCAATTTTCCACACTTCTGTGAATCTAAGTAGAAGAAAAATATNAAAATATAGGCTTCTTTTTGCATGGAAAATCAATTTAAATAAGGGTGGGCAATGTTGTGATTGGTGTCCTAACTCAGCTTCCTGACTCTCTAGAACAGTGATGGTTAACCTTTTTGGTGCCAAGAGCCCAAAGTTTGTCTGTGCATGTGCAAATGCACACATGCGTGCCCCAATCCCCAAAATGCAATGCAATTCCCCTGCACATGCACCCCCATTCATGCACTCCACCATACCTTATTTTAGCTTCCAGGGAGCAGGAGGCTTTCCAGTCCCAAAACAGGGTGCAGGGTGGCCTCTTGCAGCACCCCCAGGCCCTGTTTTGGCCTACAGGTTGATGTGGGTGGCAGAAATAGAATACAAAAGTAGGGTGCGCTGGGGGGGAACTTGCAGAGATTAGGAAAGGCATGGGCAGCAGAAATGGAGTAGAAAGGTAGGGCGTGCTGGTAGGAACTTGCGGAGATTAGGTAAGGCCCCACCACTTTGGCAGGGATCCGAAGACCAACTGGCCAGCAGAAGGCATGCACACATGCCTGGTGGAGTTGGGCTGGAGTGACAGTTGCATACCTGCAGAGAGGGCTCTGCGTGCCACTTGTGGAATGCATGCCATAGGTTTGCCATCATGGCTCTAGAAGGTTCTACATCAGGGGTGTAAAACTGACGACCTGTGGGCTGGATGAGTCATGCATAGGCCACATTCACCCCAGCTCCATGAATGGGAAAAACATAGTTAAACATCGTGTGAGAGCAACCTGACGTAGCAAGTTTTACATCTGTGTTCTAAGAGGTATTTGGTAACGCTTTGACATTTTTCTTTTTGAGACTTTCAAGGCAGAAATGGATTCTGGAGACTTTTGGGAGTCAAACTGCTTCTTTTACAACCCTTAAGTTCCCCATCTGCTCTCCATGGCCCTCAATTCAGCTATTTTGGTGGCACCTTCTGAAGGGACTGGAGGGCCATGAAGAGAGAGGTGCAAGTTTCTCTTTCCTTCTTTATGGGATCCCAGTTGACTCTGTAATAAACTTGTTCAACAGAGGGTCCAGAAGTTATTGTTATACTTCCATCCTAGCAACAGAAATCAGCTACCTATTTTTCAGCACATGACATGAAAATTCTATGAATGCTTCTGCCCATGTAAGGAAATGAAAATATACCAATTAAGGTTCTGCTGATTTTCATGAGAGCCAATTGAGTTTTCATTGATGTTCATGGTTAGCCAACACGTAGCANTTCTCTTGTCATGTTTTGAACATTAAAAAAATCTTGTCTCTCAGGGATTAGGTGACCAAATGTGGGGTTAGCCACCTGTCTGATTTGCATGATTTGCATGTAATTCTAAACTATGTGAAATCATAATCTGGGTTAGATTAATTCTGAACTGTGGAAACAATTAGGATTTAATGCTTCTGAATCCTAATGTGCTTAATTTTCATATTGGAAACAGCGTTGCTTTTTAAAAATAAGATATTAAGTGATTAGAAGACAAAAATGCAAATAATGCTTTTGAAAACATTTACTTTACATAACTTTTCCTTTGCCTTAAAACATTCATTTATTATAAAATGTACAACCCCTCCAAAATAAGAAAAGAAAAAGAGAGTCAAATTTCCACTGTTTTTCCTTCAATTATATTACTGTCCTTCCACAAAGAGGCTGACTAAAAATAAAATAAAAGAGAACCCACTGTAACACAAGAAGTAGCCTAGAGAACTAACATTATATGGAGTTCTGACTGCAAATTCATTTTGTTAAAAAAGAAAAATAAAGTTAATGGAATTAAAACAGATGAAGCATAATCTGGGATTAAGATAAAGGGGTACAAAGAATCACTGTATTTGTTCATGAATCACTTTTTCCCATTTTATATGCTTTTGCAATGAATTCTGTACCTGGTCCATGTATCGATGATGTCACAAAGTTATCTTGGTTAACTTTCACAGGCTAGAAGTTCCTATGCAGTTCAGCTCTTGTAGTTTACAGGATTATCAGAATTATATGATGACTAGGACCCCACAATGTGTTATCAACAAACCCTTCGACACATATATTGTTCAAGATGCAGTTTGTGGGAATTACTTTGAGGAGAAGGGAGAAGAATGTGACTGTGGCTCTCCAGAGGTGAGATTTTTTTTGAATGAATAAGGATAATTCCAAGACATTTCTCAAAAATGGGAATCCTTGCCAAACCATCTGGCTTTCTAAGTGGTATCCAAGAAGTTGGTTTGTGAGTAGCATAGGCGTATGTCCTCAATGTACATGGAGGGGTGAATTGGCTTCTTGGATTTGGGAAACCAGTTGTAGCGGTAAAGACTTGATACCTTGCTTCTCAGTTGGGAAGACAATGCAGTTTTAAAAACAGCTGATTTATCACTGCAACAATATCCTTCCCTGCTGAAAACCTTTACTTTGTTGACAGGGTCACATTATGTGTCTCACTGTTTTCTTGAGCTGCTTCCTACAGCTTAACCTGTGGAAGCAATTGGGGCATGGCAAGCATCTCAAGAGGATACCTCCCACCCATTTTCTCCCCACTCTAAAGATAAATGGGGAGAAACATATTTCTAGGCATGAAAGACTCTGTTATCATAACCTTACAATAAGATAATGTTAATACTCATGGTTGGTGAATCTTTTCTGGCCGACTTCAGAGGCTGACATCCTGAGTAGAAAATGGCTCAGAATAAGGAAGAAATTTGGACTGCAGGTTATGTGGCCTTCACAATTAGGAGGTGATGATATTTTTATTTGTTTTATTCTTTTCACATAGGAAATATCAGATAAGTATCTTTCATGTAGCTATGCCATCATCCATTTGCAATAACAAACCCCAGGCTGCTCGTTGTCACATTCTTTGCCAGCATGGACCCATAAAAGGAAACACATGACAGAA